CAAATCAACCTCCAGGCTTGCTCAGAGCTGAGGTCAAATGTATACACCCAAGGAAGTAAGCTGCGGAAACTTGATAACCACAGGGCTGATGTCAGGCCAGAGAAAACGTGCCGACTGTATCCGCATGCAGTTCAGAAAGCCGCAGCTATAGCAAACAAGACTGAAAACACAGCCTAGAGAGCCAGTGTGGGGTGGAGAGGGGAGGCAGGGGGCACAGTGGTTGGGTTGTGTGCACAGGCTTCAGCACCTACCTGGGTTGAAATCTTGGCTGTGTTACTAACTAAAGACGAGTGACTTAACCTCTGTATTCCAGCCCTCTTTTTGGGTTAGTTTGAGTCTGCCCTCTTGTTTTCTGCTAAGACTAAATGCGTTCATACATAAAACATCTAGCATTCAAAACCTAATAAGGTCATTTAGAAGCATAGATGGTACACCAACCAGCCACATCTTTGGTTTGTCAAGGTCTGCAATCAGACTTTGAATTTCATTCATCCATCCATTTGTTTGACATATCTTTGAGTGCCTGATGTGTGCCTGAATCTGGGAATACAATGAAGAACTGAAGCAACAGGTCTCTGACTTAGTAAACCAGTGAAAGAAAATATTGGAGGGTCAGTGTTAGGTTAGTGGTAATGGAGAACCAGGTAGCCCTGAAATCATTTCTAATGTGACTCTTAAGGAGGAAGAAATATGTCAAACTTACCACTCTGGTGAGGCATGTTAATAATGCGGGAGGCTATGCAAGTGTAGCGACGGGCGGCATATGGGAACGCTCTAGACTTTCCACTTAATATTTATGTGAACCTAAAACTGTTCTAAAAAAGAAAAAATCTATTTTTTAAAAATTTTAAAAATGAAATAAGAATAAGATATTAAGATTTTAATAAGAGAGTGAGATCTAAAAGAATAGCTCTTAAAAGTTGTCATTAAAAATAAATAAATAAAAGGATGGATGCATAATAGAAAAGACTTTTCTCTAATTATCCTAAATATTTTTGGTAACTTCACAGAAAACTAAGGATATTAGATAAATGACATTTTGATAAATTAGATTTTCTATATCAGCTCTGTTCATTTTTTTAAAATGGCAGATAGTGAAAGCTAATTGGAGTCCATCATACTCATCTCTAAGAGACACTAGTAGTTCATATTGCCACGCAAGGAACTTGTTAGAAGAAGCAGTGTTCACATGCTTTTAGTTTCCTAAGCCAGGCATAGGAAAATAAAAGTGAAGCTCCAGCCGAAGGAATTTTGTTTGTTGATCCTTCAAGGTCATGCTTGCATTTAAGTCAGCTTCATTCAGTCATTCAATTAGCCTTCCGGTGTTTTATAGGCATTTTCTTACTATGTGTGAGACTTGGCTTGGGATCTGATACTACCACAATAAATAGGGGATGATTCTTGCAGTCAACAGTCTCATAGTTTCAGACTAGAACACAAGAACAAGCAATGCAATGGGATAATTGGAGGCAGTGATAATATGGAAGCAAAAAACTCCATTCATTCATTCATTCATTTGTTCATTTGTTCACTCACTATATAGGGTGCTCCAGAAATGTACACACATACTTTGAATAATTACAAAGACAGTGTTATTAAAATACATTTCATTTTCAAAATTGAACTATCAGCTGTTAAAAAGTGTGTGTGTGTGTGTGTGTGTATGTGTACCTTTTTCAGGGCACCCTGTATGTTAGTGACTCACTATGTGGAAGGCTCCATAGAAGTGAAAATATAGATAGATAATCCTTGCTCAAATATATCTATAATTGTTTTCAGAGAGGAAAGAAGAGGGAGAGAGAGATAGAAACATCAATGATGAGAGAGAATCGTTGATCAGCTGTCTCCTGCATGCCGCACACTGGGGATCAAGCCCACAATCTGGGCCTGTGCCCTGACCAGGAATCGAACCGTGATCTCTTGGTTCATAGATCGACGCTCAACCACTGAGCCACGCTGGCCGGGCAATTCTTGCCCTCTTGACTCCTTTATGATTCTGTCTGTTAGGATTGTGGAGAAGCTTTGAGTTGGGTCTTGAAGAATGAGGAGTTTTTATGGAGATAGCCAAGGTGAGAAGGGAGTGTCAAAAGGAGGAAATATCCTGTGCACTTGGGGGTCCCATTGCCTTGTGGAAAGAACGTTGGCCCTTAGCTCTGGTGACCCCCTCTCAGCACCAAGTGGCCCCACCTTGGGTCCTCACAAGGAGATATTTTAGGGAAGTCCTTATGGGTGATGACTACATTTTGTCTGTAAAGAATGACTATGCCCTCACTCCACTGCCCTCTGTCACCTCATGGACAGTCACAGGCTGACATTCTAGGACATTCCATTTCCCTCCTTTTAATCAAGGCCTACAAGGCTTATCAAAATATATCCAGATCTGTTTTTAGAGATCTTCAATCTGTAAACTTAGCTTTTAATTTCAATCCTCATCTTAGGTACTTAAATATTGATTTTTAACCTTTTTTTCCTTAAAAAAAGATTTATAACCAAGTCCAGTTATCATGGATATGGATAATCCTTCAGTGGACACAGGGACAGATATTTATATATTAGCCTACATCTAGTTGGATCATAACTTGAAGGCTAACAACATCTAAAATTCTCTGATGATATCAAATTGTATTTTTAGAATTTACTTTTAGGGCCTTTTCAGGGGCTGGAATGTTTTTGTGAGGCTCTTCCTTTCTCGATTTGTATTACAGATACTATCAAATTCCACTTGGTTTTTATCTACATAACATAGAAAATTAAAACAACTGGACTTCCTACTCCCCAGTCTTCCCCACCTTTTGCTTTCCTTATGAGTGAACAAAGGCTAAGTCAGGAAGCTCTTATCAGGGGGGTGTTCCTGAGAGCACTTCCCTGGATGTCCTATTCAGCCCAATCACTGCGTCTTCTGCTTGTGGAGAATACTGACCGAGAAGCCCTGCTGTTAACGTTGATCCCTGAGAACCATAGGTCACGGCAGGCCTCTGAGTCACCCGCAGTTAATCATGAGCAGCCTGCATTAGTCATTGGTGTGTTTGATTGTGTTCTAATTCTTTAAAAATGTGTGGCTCCCTCTGGGGAAAGTGGCTCCGATTCTAACAGACAAGGCAGTTTCCGCTCTATTCTCAGGAGCACATCAGGGCACACGCATTCACAAGTGAGAGAGCACCCACCAGCTAAAAAGGACTCACTGCAATTATTAACCGATTAGCTACTAGTTTAGTTAATTGGGTAATACCCAGTAGACATACTCAGGGTAGTTTTCTGACTGAACAACTGGATTGGCAATCGAGCATTAAAGGTTGACTAGTCCGAGTAAGTCGTGTGCTTTGTATAACACAGATTGGATGGCATTTTTCTATTGAGAAATCACTCTCTTCCTATCAGCTCCTAAGAGAAGAATCAGCCCAGAAACAGAACATAGGCTCACCAGTCAGCGCCCTGCCCTCTTTCTGCTGGGCTGGTCTTTTTTGAGCTCAGATAACACCACTAAGGCCATATGCAATAGGCCTGGGTGTTGGGGAAGCCTAGTCATGGTGGAGCAGCCCTGAGGACCACTAACAAGGAAGAAGGACTTTTAAAAATATGATAGGATACCTTGACCCCAAGAGGTGGTCACAAGGAACACAGCAGTCACCAAAGCTTCCAATCAAGGGACAATCGTGTGCAGTTGTTATGCTTGTGCATACCGTGTAGAAAGAAGTGTTAGTGGCTTTTTGTTGTTGTTGTCAACTATTTCCAGAGTGAATACTATATGAACAGGCTTCTTTCTGGAAGTTAAAAGCTAAGATGTTAAAAGTGACTGTTTTCAAGGACTAGAGTTCTTTCTTGTTTTGTTTTCTAGTTTGTCTACAGTGAATACCTGCTGCATTTAGTAAGAAAAAAAAAGGTTGTAGTCTTAAGCATTTTATTTTATTATTATTTTATTATTATTTTTTATTTTTTTAAATAAGTGTCCTCTTTTATTATTAGTCTTAAACACTTTAAATCACTTGCATGCCTGCCACCTATCAGATTGGGTATTTTCATTGACTTATGTTCCCTTCTGAGCTTTGACGAATCACCCAGTTTCTCTGTTAAGTGTAATTACATAGAGATGTGGTTTCACAGTTTGCTATTTCAAAGCATTGTTGCACCTGAAAAACAGACACCAGAGATCATCTGCGACATGAGTCAGGGTAACCCAGACCCCCATCTGATGCAACTGGTTGGGGCTGAATACAGCATGCTCTCACCTGCCCACCAGTCTGGTGATAGAACCTACATAGACAATGAGGTGTATGTGTTTCTTTGTGGGTTTGTCTGTGTGTGTGTGTGTGTGTGTGTGTGTGTGTGTGTGTGTGTTTATATGTGTGTGTTTTTGCCTGAGAAATGTATAGTTTATTAGTAGCACCATAAATTATTTGGAATAAGAAGTCTGTTCTGTGGAAAAGACACATGAATAGGTTTAGGATTTTATGGGGCTGAATCAGCCAAATCAAACACAGGCTTTCCCGAAGCTTCCAAGTTTTTAATGGAAACTCACGCTCTTCAGAACTTTGCTGCCTAATTATAATTCATGCCTTTTGCAGATCCTTTACAGGGTGGACCAAAAGGAAAATGTTAGACATGTGCACTTGTGACTTCTATTGTGTTATTTGTGGAGTGCCACACATCGGCTGGCCTGGTGCGTGCAAAGACAGAGGCCAGCTCCTGGCAGGCCGGACCACGTCAGCATGGAGGAGGAAGATAACCTTGCAGTTTTGCAAATACAGACTGCAGGCTCAGAAACAGAACCAGCCTCTATATGTGGTTGTACAAAAGTCACCAGTGTCAGACTTCAATATAAAAGTTCAATAGTAACCACAGCCCAAATTATCCCATATCATTGTCTTCATTAGAGAGGTCCTTTTGAAACCCAGAAAAATGAACTATACAGATTTCATTTTGATTTTATTTTTAAAAGGAATCTCTCTCTCTCTCTCTCTCTCTCTCTCTCTCTCTCTCTCTCTCTCTCTCCCTCTCAACAGGTCTAACTGGTATCAAAGGAGAAAAAGGAAATCCAGGTGTTGGAAGCCAAGGTCCCAGAGGACCCCCTGGGCCAGCAGGTAAATATTCCTACCTAACAGAAAATTGAAAATCTTTCTATTCCCTGGATATCACAGGTGAGGAACATGGTCATATTACATCCTTGTATCTAACTGAAATGGCTATATGCCGTGTTCATTTTGTTAGGAGACCCATTTGTCGCCTAATACAAGCTCTCAAAGTTACAGCATATTCTGGAATCTTATTGGTTAGGCTAGGCTAGGCTATGCTGTAGTAACAAATGCTTAGTGGATTGACACCTCAGAGGTTTATATCATACTCGTAACACAAAGCTTGATGTACGGTGCCCCCCCCCCTTTGGAACAAAAGGCCCCAGGAGAAAGATAAAGGAAGCATCTTAAGTCTCACAGTTCTAAATGCAGAAGGACATAAGTCACTTGTCACATTTCACTGGCTGAAACTAGTTGCTCAGCTCCAACTGTCCCGCAGGGGAGGCTCGAGATCTAGAGGAACACGTGGATGTTTGATGGGCACTGGTAGTTCCTGCCACCAGGCTCATCTCACTGAGTGAGTTTTGGGTGAAGTTTTGAGGTTTGTGTACATTACTAGGAGCTTTCATAATGGTCTTCAGACGATCAGACTCGTTATTAAAATTTTAAGTTTGCCATTCTATTGGATATTTGCAATCTCAGTCTTAGCCACATGGAATCAAATGCTTTATAGACTTTTCTTTCCAACCTAATAAGTATCTTGGAAAAGACTTTTTCTAGGAGAGATGCCTAATGCAATAGATTCATTTCAAATGTAAAAATTCCCGTAATTTGAGATCATATAACTGACTCAGCATCATGAGATGCCCAGAACGGATGCTGGGTGGATGTTGATGAAATGAGACTGAATGTATCGGAGAGCCACAACACTTTTCAAACACATTTCTCATTTACATTTTGGTTTTAAGTTAAAGAATTTCATTTCTAGTTGGAGAATGGTTCTTAACTACTTTTTGAATCCAGCTTTAAAAACCAACAAAGAGCCCTGCCTGGTTTGGCTCAGTGGCAAGAGCGTTGGCCTGCGAACTGAAAGGTCCCAGGTTCAATTCCGGTTAAGGCCACATGCCCGGGTTGTGAGCTTGATCCCCAGTAGGGGATTTGCAGGAGACAGCTGACCCATGATTCTCTCTCATCATGGATGTTTCTATCTCTCTCCCTTTTCCTTCTTCTCTGAAATAAAATATATATATATATATATATATGTGTGTATTTTAAAAAAACCACACACCAACACACATAAAAACATATGAAAACCAAAAAC